ATTGAACAGTTATATGATAGTACAAAATATTAATTTCAAAATGTTTTGAAGCAAAATAAAATTTTATAACTTAAAGCAATGGAGAATTTTTTATTATTATTCTGCAACAAATTTGTCAAAAATGAAGATAAAATTATTTTAAAATAAAGTTTATTACCAGAGCGTTAAATTTGAAAAATTATTTCTAATTCTTTTGCTTTTAACTGTCTTATTTTGTTTTTCGTACATTCTCAAAAAAATATAGATAAATTTTTTAAACATATGATACATTAAAGTTGTAGAATGGCTTTAGGAGATTCGTGATGCTTTTTTTTTGACTACCTCACAGCACATTGCAATTTTAAAGATGAAAACTATTTTATAGTATCATATCAAATTTTTTTTAAATAAACAAAAGGCGGCATAATATGTTTTGAAGTGTTTTTTCAAATGTAGATACATAGGCATCCTAATTAGGTTCCTCTTTACGCTCGTGTCAATTTTTTCCAGTTTTGCAGGTACGCTTGCAAATATCGATTTAAGAGAAGCGAGTTTACCAAAATTGGTTTATACGAGTTGCTGAAATTTTAATAAAACCCGAAAATTTTGATTTTGTGAAATCAATAAATTATATTGAAATTCAGCTAGCCATGTGAAGTGGTTACTATGTCGTCGTTAAAGATTTTCTGCTTTACACTTGTAAATGATAATATTTCCAATTTCATAACTTTTGAAAATTCACTCACGGTAAATAACTAATTCAATCTACATAAATTTGTCACTGTTCAAATAAAACAACATCATTTATTAATAAATAAATACTAATAATGACGACTTTTTAATCTTTAAATTCAATAAATGGGTTGTTTACATATTTGTTGACCCAAAAGTTATTTTAAACCAGAAGTTGCATGCAAGGCACCCTGTTAAGGCGTGTAAGAATGTAATTGTTGGCATCGAAAGTGTCAACACAGGTGTGCTCACAGTGGTCCTCAGAATTTTCTTTTCATTCATATTTTCAATTTTTCGTTAAACTTACGTGAATCAACAATTTGCAACAGTTAACATAAAATCCAACGAGACTTCTCTAGAATATCATTGTGTGTCATGTTATTTTGATTGGAAAGTCTTTACTTGGAGTATGCAGTTATCTTCATTAAAAATAACTGAATTATAAACATCCATATGTTTATTTTGATTTTATGGAAAAAAAATTTAATTCAAAGAGTCGAGCACTTTTCTCTTTACGACTTTTTGTTTAGAACTTATTCATTCTCAAATTTAACTATTCGCCTATTCCACCATTCCCCAATTCAATCGTACTCCAATTCTATCATACAAAAATTCAGTCATTCTCAAATTCAATTATATAGTCATTTGTTCATAAACTTTAATTTTCCGGTGGTACAAAGTTTTTTTTAGCAAAATGTAGGTATTTATATGTATAATATGATTTTTCGAATGTTATTGAATGAAAAAATATTTGCGAATGATAAATGCTGTTTCGCTTAAATGCTTTTTTGTAGCCGCCAGCCAACGTAAACATGAAACTCGTCCGTGCATGGCGGGTGCAGTGAGTTGGTGAGTTGTTACAATTTCGTTGGCATAAGAACCTGGGTCGGGGGTTAACGTTGTACATTTTTTGACACTTTAAAAAAAATTTTTTACTTATTTTAATGTTTGTTGTAAATAATTTCACGTGGATACATTTTCGACTAAATAAGTTTTATTTAGTGTCTTATTTCGAGTTTCATTAATTTTTTTATTCATCCTTCATTTTTTAATTTTTTGTATGCTAAGTTATTTTTCATTTTAAAATTTTTAACCAGCAGTAAACTATTCAACGTAAAAATTTTACATGTGGTTTATTATAAATTAAACGTAAACTTTATCTTAATTGCAAAAACTTTAAAGAGAAGAAACAAAGGCATGAAAATATAATAATATTGTGTTAATGCATTATGGTTATATATAAATTTATACGCAGTTATTAAAACAAAGTTTTTGTTCAATTAAGTACGTTTAAATGTTTTTAGATATACGTTAAAAAAGGTGAAATGAATTAATTGACATGATAAGCTGATGACTTGACAGCTCACTGATGAGAATTTATGGTTTTCATAACAAAAAACCATTCAACAGATTAAAATAAACACCCATTTTCTACTTTTCTTATGATTATTTAACAAAAAGCGCCTTCATTTTAGCTGTGAGTTTTTTTTAATTTCTAACGAACGTGTACAAAAACATGAAAAAAATTCAAAAGTTTTTTAAAAATATTTACCGTTGCTGTCAAGAATTCTGACGAAATGCAATCATTCAAGCAATTTCAAACATTGTTTTCAAATGCAAATCTTTGGTGTTGAAAATTTCACCCTTGCAAGATATAAACAAATTTTTTTAAGCAGTTTCTCTTTATGCAACATTTTAATAAATTTTATTGTAAAATTTAACTCAAATTAAGTTAACTAAATTAAATTATATTGGAAACATTTAAAAACCACCAAAATTTGTGTTTGAGGAATAAAATATAGTATAGTCATAGAACTCATTTAAATGTTGCAACATCACTACAAAAAACATAATGAGCAGATAAAACTTGAATCTGTAATTACGGTTTATTTATTGCAGTTCATCCATTGAATAAGTCTCAAAACAAGTTACATTACCACGATTGATTGCCTAATAAAATTTGAAATTAAAAAATTTTGATATTTACCATTTTTTAAAGTTATTTTCGAAGAACATAAAAAACAAAGATTCGTGCGACGAGATTACAAACATCCTTGAGGTTTCATTTTATTACGTAGGGAGCATTGAAACGGCAACCTGTATGGCTCAAGCAGTGGCTTAGTTCATTTAGTCTGAATGGATCTTATAAGAAGATGGCTTAGATCGCCATTCTTACGTGCGTTTTACTTATACATGTTAATATTAGCTTACGTTAAATCTAGGCTGTAGTAGATCAATGTTATACGGTCAAATTTATTTACTTGCTAATAAATTGTTGTATAATTTTTCGATATTTTACAAAATTTTGTCTATAAAAATTCTTTCAAATTTAGAGGTATAGGTGTGATTTTACGCGGAGAGTGTCGCTAAGAAGAGGTTCATTTGATTCAAGGCAACGTTCCACGGCACAGTGGCTCAATAGATATCTCTATGCATCAAATGTTTATAATGAAACTTTCAGAGTGATATTATTGCATTAATCAAAATCTAAAATAAAATAATATGTGTAAAAATTATTCTAAATTGAACTAATTTTCGCAGTCTTTAACCGATTTTTGAATTTAAATTTATAAAAATATAATTGATATAATATTATTTAAAAACATTTTACTAGATTTATATTATATCAGCCACCAAAAAACTTTTTAAAATAATAAGATTATAATTAGAAGCATAATGGCACGTTCAAATGGACACACATTCACATACACATACATATACAACCAAACACAAATATACACGCATGTATACACAAATATATTTACACATACACGCACGCACACACACACACACGCCACGCACACACACACACAAAGAGTTTAAAGCCCAGGCATAAAGCACCACATCACCATATCATTACAATTCTTACACTCCGAGAAACATTTACGATCGATTTAAAGGTTACATTAACTGATTTAAAAATGTACAACAACTGGGTAGCAAGTGCTCAAGACGCATGTTACAACTACGTGCTGCATCTGCTATATGTATTAAATAAATTTGTAAAAAATGTGCAACAATTACGTTGAAAATACTCGGCGAACACTAATTTGTAACAACGCTGTAACTTCTCAAGAAGTTATATTAAACATTTGATTGACAATTTTTTTTAATTATACAACATTCTTAACAATGAAAAAATAAAACTTTTAAAAATAAATTCGCACTTTATTTTTAAATATTTTAGCCAACTCATGACAAATAACATTTGACGAAAGAACTCTTAGTTTATGAACTTTTTCATAAAAAATATTTTCATTTCAATTCGTTCAATTTCCACGCTTAGGATGCCTCGGGCTCTTCTTTCTTACTGAAAAAAATTTTGCCTAATGAAAATCGCAAAAAATCTGAAAATTTGTTTTCCGTCACCAGATTACGAGTTGTATTCAATAAAATGAATATTTTACGAAACCATGAAAACAAATGAGAAAATTATTAAATAATTGCAGAGCTTGGCAGTTTAAATTGGCTAATTGAGCAAGTGGAGAGACAGTGCGTCGTGCAGCAGCTGGAGCCAGGATGAAGCATCGAATGGGACTGACGTTGACGTGCGAGTGTGGCTGTTGAAGCTGATTGATTAGGTCGTGACTGCCTGCCTCCGATCATTCTAATGATCGTTAATTATCTGAAACTCCAGTCGTGTGTTCATTTATGCCGCGAATGTTTGTTGTTGTAAATACCTTTGTTTTTTTGTTTGGTTGGTTGGTTAGTTGGTTGGTTAGTTGGTTGGTTAGTTGGTTGGTTGTTTGTTTTTTTGTTTGTTTGTTTGTCTATCTGATGACTCTCTGTTTGTTTTTTTTGTTTTTTTTTGTTGTTATACGTTCGTTTGCTTGTTTGTATGTTGACAAACATTTTATTATATTTCTTATTAGTAATAAAGTCAAATGCCTTGCTTTAAAGACGCTTTAATGATTGGTTGCCACCATGTTACAAAATGTTTTTTGAAAAAATCAAAGTAGGGATGCTGACAAATTCTGGCAAATCATTTAAGAAAAGAATCTTAAAACAAAGTTTTGCAAGTTTGCAGAACACGCAAAAAGAGACAAAAAGTAGAAAGATAATACATGCAAAAAGTTTAGAAATATGGCATTGGGCTGAAAATGAATAATATTTATCGTGGAAAATTTTTGCTTCTCTCTCTCGTTATTTTTTTGCCTCAAACATGCACTTGACATTGGCAATAAAATATTTTTAATCGGTTGATTTTTGCATCAATTCATCCAGTTTCATTGTTAACTGAAACTCGCGCTGTGATGAGAACGACTGCTAGGGACAGAACCAATCTATCATCATTCATCCAAGAGTACACATTTTGCCTGCAACTTGTTTCTCTTACTATGGCCATTGTTGTCTGGTTCAAGAATGAAAAATTATAAATTCAAATTTTAATTTTTGCGGAGAAGATAAAAAAAAGTCAGGTAGATTAAGCCAGTGAGGGACAGTTGAGGTCGAAGGACCTATCGGCGTCCCACTACCTATCTATCTATTTGGTGATAATGAATTTTTCAAAATTTTAAGTTTCCTGTTTTTTATGCTAATTTTAGCATCTCTTACGCTCCGGCCCCGAGCGGTTGCCCCGTTGCTCCAGCATAACCACACCACCGGCTTTGGCTTTGAAGAAATTAATTAATAACTGCATCAGTTAGATACAGCTTAAACGCAAATTAGTAATTGCCATCCCGGTTGACGACCGTAATGAATGTGTTTCTAAATTTATACTATTCTAATTTGTTATTTCCACAAAATTAAATAATTCTAATAAAATGGTTAGGATAGTTTATTTTTCAAATTTTTAGTTATGTAATAGTACATAAGAATACTATAAACTGCAAGCAGAAATTTCGTTAGTTTCTAACTATTATAATTGAATGGTTTATTTTATTGAACTCTAAGATTAAAAAAATCTATTCCAAACTAGCGGCACAATTGTTTTTTAATTAAAAATTAAATGAAAACTCTAAAACATCAGTTGAAACTCCTAAAAAATTTTATTTTCAGAGATCATCTGAAATGTAATACCACAATTTTTTAGGGTAGGGGAGAGTGGGGATGCTTGAGACACTTTCCGTCCAAACGTAAACAAAATGTAATGCCCTTCATCATTAAACACTTTTTTAGCATTTCAGTTAGAGCTGGGTCTACTGAATAAGATTTTATAACCTCATGCAACATTGTGAGTCATTCTAGACGACAGTTTCAAAAGTTTTACAGGTACCTAAATGTCTCAACTATCCCTGCTACTGTACTCGTTGAGACAGCAGGAGTCATGCTTGAGACACAATTTAACTCATTGATATTTCAAAGGTTAATATCCCTTGCTTTTGTTTTATGGCTTGCAGAAGTTATTACCAAAAAAACATTATTTTATGACATATTATTTAGAAAATATTATAGGATAAATTGTTATTAAATTTCACCAAAATCAAATACAATTAATTTGAAAAAAATAAAGTTTCGACAAAATATTTATTTCAAATTGCACTTTTCACAAACAAAATTTTGTTCTGTCTTTGAAATACCAGCACAAGCAGTATGTGCCCATTCTTTACATTTTCCCTGGCATTTAATCCAGATTTCACCATTTGTAGAAGAAGACCATGAAGAGCAACAATAAAGACACAGAGCATCATCATCATCACCATTATTTTTGTTGCCAGAATTGCTTGAAAATTTCAATTGCCTGCGACTTTACTTTTCACATTTTACTTTTTTTTCTGTTTTTTGCCTTCTTTTTTCTTGTTTTTGAGAAATTTCATTTTTAATTGGAGTATCTGTTAAAATCCTCGTTTTACCTAGCCTTTCAGTTTTACCTTTCAGTTTCCTAGGTGGAGCAACTGGAAATGGCCTGATGTCTTCAGGTTTAAATATTATAGCAAGAACATTTTTGCAAGTTTCAATAGTGTTATTCAATTGGGGATTTGATGATTCACTTGGTTTGTAGGCACTATCCTGCTGTGAAAAAACTTGATCTGTAGACTCTAAATTATTCAAACTGTTAGGATTCACAGCTTCACAATCCTAAATGTTTCATCTGGTGCACCATTGAATCTATCAGTTACTTTGGATGGTAGAAATTCTTCTTCAGCAAAAATATATGAATTATGTGGCCAAATGCCTGTAACTTTTAATCCGGAAGTGATGTTTTCAATAGTCATTGCACTTTTGTATGCTTTTGCCACCAGTCCCGGTATATCATAAATGTCTGGTCGATGAGCAGTATTATTAATCATAAAGTCTTTTAATGCAGTGTTGTAATACCTTTTAAATGGACCGTAAACAGTATGATCAAGAGGTTGTAGTTTGTAGCTACAGTGAGGAGGGAAACTGAGCATAACTATTCCATTGTTCTTGGCATAATCGATCGCTTCTATTGACAAGTGTGATTCATGATTATCCAAGAGAAGGAGCACAGGTGTCTGAATGAAACATCTTACCTTGAAAAACAATTATTGATTTGAATTTACCTTAAAATATGTAATTTGAATAAATGTCTTCCAAAATAAATATAATAAATTAAATAATGCTAATAAAAATAAATAAAAAAAAACATAAATAATTTATGTTTTATTCAATTAATTTATCAGATAAATTAATACAAACCAACCTAAATTTATATTTACTGATTATATAACTAAAAGGTAAAGAGTTATAAAGAACACATAATAATTAATTATTCTTAATAATTGAGGTGTCTCATTCAACCCTTTAAATGATTGTCTCAACCATCCCCAACTGAGGTTTAGGTTATAAAAGTTATTCTTAATAATTGAGATGTCTCATTCAACCCTTTAAAATTTAATGGTTGAGACAATCATTTAAAGTTTAAATGATTGTCTCAACCATCCCCAACCGAGGTTTAGGTTATAAAAGTTCTATTAACTTTTTTATTGTCATTAAGTGACAATATTATACGAGAAGAATCGCTAAATAAAAAATAAAACTAATAATAGCAAACTGTATTTAAAAAAACAAAAATTAATGTAAAATAAAACGAAAAAATGTGATCACCTAAATTTTACTTTCGAGGTCCAAAAACAGTTTTTTTAGTCTGGAAACTAAAAACGTGCATGAAATTTGATCAGCTTTTAGATAAACATAAATGACATGATATTCCACAAAGATAAACTAAAAGAGTACCCTTAAAGCGCATAATTTTCTTATTATTGACCTGTCCCATCCAACCCTTTGTCTCAAGCATCCCCACTCTCTCCTATTATAAAAGAAGGGGACAGTCGATTTGATAGGAGAATATTTTAGTCGACTGTTTGACAGGCCAGTTTTTCTCTGCAGTACGTTAATTTATCGACGCTGTTGGTCCTTTCGTGCTAAACTGAAACATCAGAGTTCTTTGAACAGATGCGAAGTTTCTAATGAAATGTTTAAATTGATTGCGGTTTTTGAAGCTACACTGAAGATAATAATAATACTGCTTCTACCAATAATAATACATTTATTGTTAATATAAACGAAGTCAAAAAATAAAGAGAAAAATTTTCAAAACTTTCAGTGATTCATCTCTAAAAAAGCTAGTGAGTGAATCTTATCAATAACGTAACAAAAAATGAATACAAATATTGAAACGCTCACACACAACCGCGTACCAAAACATTTAAATATAACTTTCTGACTCTATGAGCCCTACGCAGGCATGCATGCTATCGACTAACATGTGATTTGTTGTGGCAGTTTTTATTCAGATGTGCATTTCAGATATCATAGTATCGTAGAACGGATGTCCTTTTTCAAAATCATCAGTTGGTTGGTTTTGTGCCGTTGGAGAGCCAAATCTTTCAAAAAATTGCGATGTTGGCTACCAAATATAAAAATTTTTTATCTCCAAAATTATTTTAACAATGTAGAGACCTTGAGCGACAGAGCCTGTACAAGATGGTCATGGAGGCATTCAACAGAGCAGCCAATAATATTTCATCTACTTTTCCTATATACTGTTTTTTATATAATATGTATAGTACATAAGCAAATGTATCAGAACGAATACTCGCGAAAACTCAGCTGTAATAATAATTCTCTTGCTCTTAATTTTGATTGAGCGTGCACCATTAAATTGTCATCGTTAACCAGGTTTGATAGCATTTTTCTTTTATGTTGTGGTGATGTTGCCGTTGAACTGTTAACGTTGAAATTATCATTTTCACTTTTCGGTCAAAACTTTTGATTTTATTTGATTTTCATTCCACACTGTTAAGAAACAAATATAAGCTAATATAAAATATGACAATGACAAGTTATAATAAGTTATTCAGGTTGATCCCCGCGAAATAAATGAGATGATACAAACAGCACGGCCAGTTGACCACATCATGAAAACAACACAACGACAATTTGGTGAGTTTCAATTTTTAACCAACCTGCAGCTCTTTGTCGGAGCAGAATTGACCGGCGGTGCACGAACAACATTAACGAGCCTTGCTGAACGCTGCAATTAAGAAGCAATAAGTTGTATAAAAAAAAAGTAATGCAAATGAAACAGCATGTTTTGCAGTTAGATTAAAAACTGGATTAGCATTGATGGGCTAAAAACCCCAAAAAGATTTGGATAGATAAATTTTTATTCAAATAAACACGATGCAAGCAAATATATAAACCACTTCAATGTAGTGACTTAGAAGAAGTTTAAAACCTTCGCAAAGTTGCAAATTAAAGTTGCATAACATGCCATTAAAAATGAATGGGCATGTTTCTATGTGCGCAAAAATAATTTATAAGTAAACATTGCAGTTGAATACAGACCTTAATTAAGGTTAGAATTATTTTCCAGCTATAAAATTTTTTAAAACCTTTTTTAATGGCGAAATTTACTTGTCGAAATAAAATGAGCGATAAAAATCTGAGCAGAATGTTCATGCATTTTAATGCTGATCATTCCAGTGCATTTGATTTGAAACACTACATGGAGATCCTCCAGTATGACCGATCATTAAAGTTAATAAAATTTAAATTCACGATTTTTAGTACCAAACGCGTAAAACCAACAAAAAGTATTCACGATAAGGAAGCTGGTTTTGTCTACAAATGTGATAATATTGGTCTTTGGTCTTTGTGGAATGGCTTCAAAATCGTAAAAGAAAATCAGATTGATCGGCCACCCAGCAAAATGTACAGTCTATTCGTGTCATTAAGTGGCGGCTCTTAAAAACTGACTCCAATTCCCAGCAGGACTATTTAGAGGCTCGTTTTCGATTTCTAAATTTATTGGTCTGCGTCCGCTTATCTTTGTTTCAATATCAAGCCGCTAAAAGTTTTAAAGAAAAATAATTTCAGCCATTTAATGTTGCTATGTGTATTAACAATATTATAGATTTGAACGGCACATACAGTAATAAAAGATTTAGATTTTCATTGACTGGAGTAATTTTAAAAATTATCAACCAATTTAACTTATTTTCATAATTTTATTTATTCGTTTCTAACTGAGAATAAGTGAATAAGCTTATTAAAAATACACAAAAATTATTAAATGAATATTTTATGAACAATTGAAAAACGTGAGTAACGTTAAAAAATAACTTTCATGAAATTCAGAACATAATCATTCAAGGTATCGAACCTCCAATAAAAGGTCTTAGAGACAAAATAACAAATCATTCGCCAGATAACGATGAAATTAAAAAATTTTGTTGCATGAAATGAAATCGAGTAAGAAAGGGTCTTTTATCATTTTATGTTTCTGGTTCAAATTTTACACTACTTTTATTGAATATTAGACAAAATTCATTTTTTTGTTTTTTTAATCACAAATATTTTAAATTGTTCCTATAGGTATGTATGCTATGGCTGGCTGGAAATAATTTAGTTATTGGTTGATTCATATTTCAAGGAAGATTTTATTGGAGTAAAATTAATATAGACTAATTAATATGCAACTTCGACGTTTTCTCGGCCAAAACAAAATCTTCTGAAGGAAAAAAATAATGGTGACCAGAAGTTATTGTATGTAAGAGTTGAGCTTATTAGGAAACTAACGTAGGCAAAAAATTTTTCTAATAAAATATAGTTATAGGAATTAGATCAATTCAAAGTTATTTAATAAATATTTTCAAATAGTCAAAAAATTGTTTGTTGATTTGAAAAATAAAAAAAATAACATAAAAAAATTTTGAAACTTGGAACAGCAAGGAATAGCCTAAGTCATTTATAGTCAGTGATGAGAAATAATGTAAAAGATAAATTAACGAGTGACAGAAAGACCATTCATACATGGATTGATCATGGTGAATAAGGTGGATGATGATAGCAACAATAGTAAACATCGAATTTTAATTAATTAACTTTTTTAAAAATTAATTCATTTATTTATGTATTAATTAAATAATTAATTAATTAATTTTTCAACTAATAATTTAAATGTTTCATTGACTTTCAAAAAATCTATTGGGTTAAAGAATTTATTTTTATATAGAAGTTAATAATTATAAATGTATAATGAAAAAGTGAATGTTGCTTTTTTACAAAAACTTTTAACTTATTTTCTTACCATTCAAAAAGCAAATAAATTTTTAGCATTGAGTAATTGAATCCTGAGATTTTTCGTTCATAAAAATCTTAAAACTTTAATTTTTATTCACCTCCATTGAAATATCCACGTAAATCTTCTGTGGCAACTTCAATTTCGATTCACCTAGTGATGGTTTTTTTTTTAATTTTGCAATTCAGACTCTGTCAAAGGCAAAGAATGCAACAGCATGCAGGTTTTGAAACGATGAAGATTTGAAGAATGAATTTTAAAATGTTAGTTACATTAAGCAGAAGTAAAATCAAGTAAAATCAAGTAAATTTTGAATATAAAAAAACAACTAGTGACACTATAATATAAAATTATAATTATATTTTCAACCAATAAAATAACAAACACATTTCTAATTGCTGAAATCTTTAAATTTGAATGTCTTGTTATAAAATCCTCTTTCTTGCAAAACCGACCATACCATCCAACGTTCAGTGAATGTGAAATGTATGGACACGAACACACATCTCATCGCAAATTTATGTTCACATTGGAACAGCGGTGCTGTCGGTAGCAGGTGCTGAAACAACAAACAACAACATTCCTAATCAATCACCTCGGAAAATGAAACCTGAAAAAAATTATAGTTTTTGCAAAATTGTATATTTTTTTATTGTCAATACAATTTTTAAAAATGCAGTTTTTCATTATTTTGCAGAGCGTTGCTGTAGATAAATTTCATATATAGTGTATGTCAGCAGGGTGTTTTTCTACATATACCGTCACTCACTCATTCATCAATCAATCCATCAACCCATCTATCCATCTATTCCTCCATTCATCAACATATAAAATGTTAGCAGATGGATTGAACCCGTTAGAATGTTGGATGGAGTGTAAAATATTGTTCGAATTTACATTATTTATTCTTACATACTGATGTCTCTTGCAAAGATTTTGGGAGAGGAGATTTTTCTGTTTCAACCGCAAAAATATGGAACTCGCTACCTGTAGGTTTGAAGAAATTCAACAATATAAGCCAACGTGTTTTCAAAAAACGTTTGAAACATCATTTGTTTGGACATTCTCAAGTGAAGCTTCTGAAGTCATTAAATATTAGAAGTTATTAAAAGCTTCCCAAATCTTTGAATACAGATGCAGATACAGATTAGTAGAAAATCTAGCAATAAATAAGACTTACCTCGGAAACCATAGCTCTCGGCTATTTTCATTAGCAGAGAATGATCAATCAAACCAAAAACTCCGCCATAGTTGATAACAATTGCAAGAGTTGTTTGATTTTCTCTCATGTTTAAAATGTGCCATGGATGACATCATTCAGCACCAGGTGTTTGTTGAATGAGTTTTAGGAACTTGGCTAAATACAATTTGACAATTAAACTTACATTCGACGTTGTGTATATTTTTCAGAATTTTTTTTATATGGGAGACAACAATGAAGTTGCTCCATAATTATACACTGAACTTGTATCACTTTTTGAAAATGAGCATAACTTAAGATGTTTAGAAAAAGAATGGAAAAATACTTTCTGTGTGATAATACGTTTAGAATGTGAGCAGGTAGTTTTCAGAAAATTCATACCAACTTTTAAAAAAGAAGTTATTCAGTCCATCATCTGAAATAAGTTCAGAATTTTTTTTTACAACTTTCAAAACGTCTTGTGCTGTGCAGAGTTGTCTGCATAAATTAATAAATAATTAATAAATAATTAATAAATATAGAGAGCATGTGACTCCGGTTATGATGTTTTGTGATCCTCACCGGCATGGAATCAATGAACAGTTCGTGCACGCACAAGTACAAGTCCATCTGCAATGCAGTGCCACTTCGTCTTTAGGATCTCTAGTGCAGTAATAACATGACCAAATTAATGTATGGTTTGTTGACGTTAAGTTAAATTTTAGCAAACTATTATCAAATTTTTATCTAAAAGTTAAATTTTTCACTGTTGAAACTGTTGTATCTGTTCAGATTGCATAATGCTGACCAATTAATTTTTTTTCAAATTTACAAAATTTAGTTAATCGATACAACAATTAAGATCCCAAAGAAACTTTGTACAACTTTTAGAATCAAGACTGAAATAAGAAAGAGAGAAAGAGAGAGAGAGAGGAGAGAGAGAAAGAGCAGGCAGATCTAACTAAACAACCAAACAATTTCTCTGCTGACAAGTTTGGATGATGAGATGAATGTTCGGCGAATTCTCGCGTTTATATTATGGAATCAATCAATCAATCAATCAATCAATTAGCTTATAAAGCGCTATTTCCGCGATGTTCAACAGCGCTCCTCAATGAATTTTGAAAACAGATGGGTCTTGAGATCCGCTCTGAACTTCGCAAGCGATGGAGAAATAGTTAGAGAAGTAGGCAGAGAGTTCCAGAGAAAAGGACCAGAAAAAGCAAAAG